ATCTAGATTAGACATGTTATATATAGTGGGAGTAAGGGGTATTCAGACCTATTCTTATATTGAAAAAAATAATCACAACGCTTTTTGCATGTATGATTTAGTTATTTAGGGCAGGATTTTTTACTTTAACGGTGCATATCACTAAATGCAAAAATTAACTTTAGGATAGGCACTAAAAGCTAGGGTAGGTAGGGTTAGCGAAAAACACAAGATTCTTTTTGTTTGGCCTAAACGATAAAAATCAAAAGTATAACCGAATAACTGAAATTCCGGGTTGGATTTAGATAAACGTGCTTTAGTAATTATATTTGTACACCTAATTAAGCCGTTTCATTTCTAACATACTGTATATGTTGTATTGGCAAATTTGACTTTGACTTTAGGCGAAATTGTAATGAACTTTAAAACACTCACAAGTGAACTATGACAAGAATGTGCCCAGTGGACTTTTCTTACACACCTGTATTGATAGAAGCCGCTAAACTACACTAATCCGTCGGTCAACTTAAAGCACTTTATAACACGCGTCGGCGTACCTCTAAATGCAGTTGGGGAAAGTCTGCGCTATTTTAAGACATGTGTTTAAGCCATTGAAGAATGTCCCAACCTCGAGGGACAGTCGCTGTATTTCAACATTAGTCAGACATGTTTTTATATCTTATATTAACGGCGGTAGGCATAGCGCGGTTTCCCACTCCACTCCAGACAAACAAGGGTTACGTACCTACACGTTCAGTTCATGGCATGTCATAATTATTAATCATGATGTCAGAAAATACAATGTCAAGTGTCAAGACGACAACGAAATAACATTTCACTAATTAACATGTAAGTCAACATAGCAGGCGTTCGTTAACACATGCATAATTAAATAGGGTCTAATCAGACCGCCAGACATCCATTGACACATAATCTCGGTTTAGACTTGTACAAGTCCGGGAAAAGGTTCTTTGTTTTCTTTTTCTTTTTAAGCCCATCGTGCATGCTATACGTTTTGTATATTATAAATTTTAAAACCCAGATACTCCCGGTCTTCATTGCTGAAACAAATTCCTTACAGAGACGAATGTACGATACATTTTAAACACGTAGGACGAATGTACGATATATTTTAAACACGTAGGACGAATGTACGATATATTTTAAACACTTAGGACGAATGTACGATACATTTTAAACACGTAGGACGAATGTACGATACATTTTAAACACTTAGGACGAATGTACGATACATTTTAAACACGTAGGACGAATGTACGATACATTTTAAACACGTAGGACGAATGTACGATACATTTTAAACACTTAGGACGAATGTACGATGCATTTTAAACACGTAGGACGAATGTACGATGCATTTTAAACACTTAGGACGAATGTAAGATACATTTTAAACACGTAGGACGAATGTACGATATATTTTAAACACTTAGGACGAATGTACGATAGATATTAAACACTTTTGTGTTTCTTTTACAGCTATCCGCTAAAATTAAGATGAAATCGACCGTGTGAGTTACATAATGTTGGACCGCAGGATCGTAGGATTTTCTTCTGTATTTTGTTTTTTGAGGACACACAGGATACCAAATTTGGTGAACCTTTTTTAGTTTTTTTACAACAATTATGACCAAACTCGTTCCGCCAAGTGCCTATACTGCAACTTAAACGAATCTCGAGTGCCATCAACTGTTGTATATTGGCTTTTGTCTAGCCTAGTTTGGTTAAGTATGGTTTGGTTGTGTTTCACGTCCTATTAACAGCTATGGTCATTAAAAGATGTGCCAGTTTTTTTGGTGGTGGTGGTGGTGGTGGTGGTGGTGGAGGAATACCGGAGTACCCGAAGAAAACCACCGACCTGTGGTAGGTATCTGGCAACTGCCCTACGTTATCCTAAAACCCGTACTACCGTCATAGTCGATACATATGTGTGTGATGGCACCATCAGTTGACATTTTCATCCTATGTCACCATCAGTTACAAAGACTTCATCCTCAAAAAAAACCACTCACTATACATCTATTTGTCTTGTGTTATGAAATAATCTACATACAAAAGTAAATACTTGTACAACTCGAAAACAGTATGGTGACCCAAAGAAAATAAATCCGGTGACCTCACTTTCCTGATCAATTCTTACACTGCCTTACTTAATAAGAATTTTACAAAGGAAAACAAATATTTATGATTTGAGTTAGGGAAAGATCTTAATAATTGGAAAATTTCCTTCATTTCCGTCATACTATCATATGTAAGATATTAAGTTAAGGACCGTTGAGAAGCTTGGGCTAGAAACCGAACTCCTGTCAATATGTCCTCGGACTGTAGTTACACTGGGTGGTTCGTCTCAGTGGGTGATTTAGGGTGGCACCCACTCCCACGCTAAAAATGGCCATTTGGCTGAACTTGAGTTTTGGGGATCATTCTGAAAGACTTGACTAGAAGAGAAATGCAAATGAAGTTTACAGCCTGCGAGAACTACATCCGGAACAACTCGGACCTTTCTTCCAGAAAAACGCTGGCGGAAAAGGCCTGATGTGTTCCGGATGATGAGAACAGTGAATCTCTGGGACTTGAGAACATTTCTGGGTCTTCGGAACATCTTGTATCCTGCACAAACTTGTGATCGGAAAGTCTCGGCTAAATCTATGTTTCTACTTGTAATTAGCTTATGTGTTAAGAAAGGAACCAGGTGTTCAGAATTGCCATCCGGTCTACATGTAAATGGCCATCCTTCCAGCGCATCAGACATTTTATCTACACAAGCTCTTTAGACGGCTATTTAGCATGTAACGTGTCAATAAATCCAAGCCTTGTTCCCTCGACATCCACTGGTCTGCTTCCCTGGCGAGAAACTGTTCAGAATCAGCGAATGTATGCTTCGTTGGGCTTGTGGTTTGTTCTATTTATTAGGCACCTTCAGATGGTGTCTCGTTCCGCAGATTACAACCAGATTCTTAAAGATTAGAATATTCAAACCCCAAAGATCAGGAACCCCTTCTCCACAAATAGAGATAGTGAGTCCCATTAACACAAAAAAGCAAGACCTGTTCTCTCGAAACCCGCCACAAGTATGAAAGCCTTACCGCAAGGTTCAAGTTTTTTACCACAACCGGCAAAATATATACAAAAGTCTTCACAAAACATGTCGGCTGCTACAGACTTTGTTCTGCTTACGATCAAAATGATAAATTTTACCAAAAATCACATATTATGTAAAATTCTTATCTTTGATCGATTTTTAAAGAATCCAAGCTCATGGACATTTTTTTTTTTTGATATTTTCGTTTTCACATATTGTCCTCTTTAAAATAATGTATGACTTAACAATGTTGGTCAGTAAAAGAAAAAGAACAGTTGGCTTTTCAAATGAGTAAATCCTGAAGCTTAATTCTTGCTGTTTTAATTAGTCAGGTGCAATGCATTTTGTAAACGAGAAATACTTTAATCAAAGATCTAATAGAAATTTAATTAAAACGGTCGTCTTGATTGACGATATCGTGAGATATCCAATAGACAGAACACACTGTTATGAACATCATGCAGGTATTGGCTTTGCCCAATGTAATGCGAACAAAGTCACTCGTGTAGAAAAATACTGAATAACGGTATTTGTTCACGTAATCAAGCATGAAGCCGAGCAGTCCTCTTATTATTGCTAAAGGCGGTATTTGGCAAGTATATGTTCTTGTACAGATGTGTGAAGTTGTATGGAATCAGTTCCACGTGTTGTCTGGAGGTATCTTGCTTGGCAACATATACGATCTAGTCTAAAAAGATTGTACTATTATTTAAAAGTCCAAATATAATTTGCAGAGTTTTCAGAATGGATCAATTTTGACGTCTGACGCTTTTCAAAACGGAAATATTACTCTTCTTGGAACATGTTTATCTGTCTTATACGTAGAAGCTGTTCCGAAAATTAGAAGCAACTTTAAGTATGTACGTCACCTTTTTAGACATCATATTTATTTATTTTCATTTTCAAACGTTTCATGGTATACATATTCAGGAAAGGGCGTTTATATAATGTTCATGTAACTAGTGCCCAATCGTTTTGCATTTTTTTGTAATAAAATACTGTATGTTTAAACTATAAAAAAAAAACTAATCATAGGTTGAAATGTTTGAAAAACCTAAACTTTCGTTTTCGATGCAATGGGACCAACTGATTTTCTTAAATTACACGATCGATATATATATATATTGTTTTCATTAACTTCAAACTTTTGGACACTTTTCGGTATTAATGGATTTGGGTTTATTTAAAGTTAATCCAAAAACAAAAAAACTCATTATGCGTGTGATTTGCAAACAATATTTTTTAATATTTTAAACTTTATATTAGCAATTTAAGTCAAGTTTCTAATGACCAAATAATAATATTTTTCTTCGGATTAACATTTTTCTCCTGTAAACTCGTTCTTTTGATCTGTTTCGGAAATTTCAGGTTTGGAACATGTTACGGCCGCACCATCAGACTTACAAGTATAGTTGGAGTCATCGATCGCTCTTTTTATTTCGTGTGAACGTAAGGTGTCGAAATTCCTTTGTTAATTCTCTGTGGGGAATAAAGCCACGGGCCGGTACAGTATATATATGTATACAGGACAAACATTCCGATTAATTTGATTTTCATTTGTCAATATTGATCCTTCTGCGAGAAAGTTCACCCTTAATGCCCCGTAGACGAAACTACAGACTACAAATACACATACAACTTGGAAGATTCCATTCACACCAGAGGGGAGATGTCTGGCTACTTGATAAAAAATATATTCTTTAATCTACTAACGTTCATGGAACAACTCGTAAAAATGAACGAAGTATAAGTTTTTAATCTTCAGCGACATAAATTTATGTTCAAACGCTCGTCAAGATGGTACTTAAAATGAAGAGCGCTGTTGTGTATCCTTAGCCAATGGACTAATCTGTTTGCTGGTCTAAGCCAATGGTTGAGTAGTAATACCCATTCAGCCGATTGTTGGTCGTCTGCTACTCGCTGAAAAGTATGTACACAGTCATAATCGCACCAGGCCGATAGCTGACACAACGATGTATGGAACGTAGGGAGCAGCTGAACAGTTTGTCAGGGGCTGAAGTTATTCAAGCCGAGCATTATTATAAATATTAATATATTTTTCATCAATTTATCATCGACAGTCTGGTGATATCTGATGTGTATAAATTTAAATTAATTTCACCATGGATGGAAACTATTACATCGCGGTATCCCTACTGTGGATTAATTTTCTAGTTTGGAGAGAGGGTCATTGTCTGGAGTTGTCACAGTTAGTGTCGTGTCCATCGGAATGTGACATCTCCAAATGTCCAGTTGTCCAGTACTGCACAGGGCAAGTGGTCAAAGACGCGTGTGGATGCTGTCCGAAATGTTCCTCAGACATGTGGATCCATCCCAAATATCCAGTGGTCAGAAAAGGTAATTAGCATTTCATTAATTTGTTTTTTGTAATTTAAGATGTTTAAATAGTTTATCCATTTAACACGATTTAATTTATATGACTAATTTTATCAATTTTAAACCTGTGTGATTGAATTGAAGATACATTTCAATAAGACATTTTTTTCCGTTTCCTGTCAAAATATTATATTGATGAAATGTTCAATGAAAATGGATCAGACTTTAATTATTGTTGAAGTCATTTTCTTCCATTTTTTATTCTGATAAATGTCGTGAAATACATTTCCATGAAATTCGTCATGGCGTTTATTAGGGGACATACACATTTTCTGCTTACTCTGCAAAATTATCTTACTCCTACAGAAAACGCCTAATGGAATGAACAAGTACAACGCATAAGGGTCTTCTCCATTTTATAATTTAGCCGTCTGTTATCACATCTCTAAATTAAAATGTCTATATCGCGATAAATCGCGTAGCGTGAAGCATTTAATGAATGTTGGACAAGAATTTCATCACTCCATTGACATTACAAATTAGGTCTGACATTTAAAAACTATCTAGACAATAGACACAATACCAGACCCCTTAGTCGGCCCCTAATTAGCCACTAAGTATCACGATCGACAGATAATATGTGTATCGTGTGAGCTTTTTTTTTTTAAATTAAAATTTGTTTTAAATCATGTTGCGTGCAACTGCTTATTTAATGAACATCAGATGATATCAAGACCTGAAAAAAACCCAGAATGTCGAGGTCTTTCGAAGTTTTTGACAGCACTCAAAATAGTTAACACAACTCCAAGCGTAAACATATTTACTTATGTCGGAGAAACACAGAAACCGGTTTACGTCTTTGTGTCTGTTCGTTGAAATTGATGTCACTTAACACTCAATTAGCCAATCAATCGGTCAATAAATAATTCAATTAAGCTACGAATTTCTCTCTCTTTCTTCTCTCTCTCATAAGATCAGATACATTATGGATGACACGCCGGTAAACATTTATAATGTGGTGAAGTTTGAAAGTTGATTTCTTGACGCATATGCTATCTATCTAACGGACTTACTATTACACAAAGTCTTACCTCAGACTAAGTAATTCTATATATACTTCAAAGTCTCTACCACCGTAAATAGTTCGGGGCTTACGTAGACTTAAACACGAAAAAATACCCTTCTCGGTACAGTGTGACGTAACGTTCAATGGACATTCATAGGAATTAACGAAACCCATGTCCATTCAAAGGCACAAAGTCATAAACGATTTAACAGGTATAGGAGGAGGTATATTATACATTAAAGACATTTTGCGTTGTCATTGAAGTATTTCCAGACTTAAGTCAGCTTTAAATTATGCAGAAGCTGTAAATCTTAAAAGTTTATACCGTGGGAGTACTCTAGTCTGACACAAAACGCTCGAGTTGTGTCGGAAAGACATTTATTATCATACTATTAAATACCTGTGAAGGTAAGGTTGGAATGCATGGTTAACTTCTAGGTATGCCAGTAAACACGTTCAATAAACTAGTCACAGATTCATTCAAGGAAAAAATCATTTTTCCCTTGTCGCCCAACTATAGTTATATAAATAATGTGTTATTATTAGGCATTTGATACTTTACCTGCAGAAGAAAATGATTGATTTAAACATTTTGATCTGACGGGACTTTAAGATCGTTGTGTATATATGTCTAACAGGAGTACATGTGATGTTCACAGACAGTCTTACACGTGTCTGAGATCGTCTGGGCACTGTCTGTCTTCGTTCGACAGAAGGTTCATATACAATTATCCTCATCACACCCCTCCTTCTAAATCTCCATCTCATCTATCTTCTCACCGGCTCTTGTGCGCCTTTCCTCCCATCCTTTCCCGACTCTTACAGTTCTCTTTCCATCCCTTCTCCCCCTGCACCCGCCCCCTCTTCTCTCGAGGTACGTGCATGTACTACTGGGTCTATGTACATCCTATCATCAAAAGGTTATCAATCTCTCACAAACGTACAAACAAGCAAGGAACGACACGCGTGTTCATATCCTAATGAATTACATTAATGGATAGACAGGCAATGAACAACATGCGTGTCCATATCTTAATGATTAACAGTAGCAGTCGGTATCATCTGCGGAAATGTATACAGTACACAGCGTCTCATCTTCGCTAGCCAAGGGTTAGGATTCGGTACGATCCGGTAGCAGTACCGGATCGTAACCCTTAGCTAGCGAAGATGACTGCGTCTCAGCCTCGTCAAAATAAACTAAGGAAATAAAGAAATCATGAATATTCGTTTAATTCGAAGTAATGTTTTAAGCCACTAGTTTTATTTCCATGTACATATATTAACTTGTATATCGTGGATACTCTACTTATCTCCAACTCATTGTTTGTCCTACTTATCTGGAACTCATTGTTTGTCCATGTTCCAACTGCTGATGTAAAGTTTTACCTGTAAACTTATCATATGACCTATACCCTGCTGATATTGTAAATGTTTTCCAACTCCCCAGGGTTAGCCCCATTATCAGATCAGAATAATTTGACCGGATGGGTATCGTGTCTTCGTCATGACACTTCTATGCGACAGCATTTTGAAAAAGAGCCGCTGTCCCTCCATTACCTTTGGACACATATGACGTCAGCAATTGCAAAAGTGGAAAAAATAATCAATCATCAATCAATCGATAATCAATCAATCCATGCTATCCCCATTGGCCACACATGAAATACCGTGGTTACCTGAACGATAAGACGAACACAAATAATATTTGAATATGAATGTAATGTATCTGACGAAAACAAAAACAAATGTTTGACACTGAGCGAGTCCATCAGGACAACAGCCTGCTGATCCGAACACTGAGTTCCGAACTAGGCGTAAGGTTGTAGATACAAGCTACGGAATAGGAGTGCCTACTGGCGTTGAGCAACCCGGTCGAGAATCTAACGTCACAGGGTATTGCAAACAGAGGCCGGATCCTGATCAAATTTGAGATTTTTAAAAACAAATCTAGTATACCCTGTAATTCTTAACTATAAATGCTCATCGACTTACATGACAGAGGTGCTTTGTGAACCGTTGAAATATTGTCAACACATGAGAGAGAAAAAGAGAGAGATACCATCAATTCACACCTAAAGCTATAGCGAAAATATGCGATATCAGTATTTTTTACTGGCGAATGTTAATGTATTGAAACTGCATCGTGTACGTAACGGATTTCAACAAAAAACGGTCGAAATATGCAGATGCACGAACACAGGTAAGACATGACGTCAGAGATAAGTCTGCCACATACTAGAGAGAAAAGATAAAAAGTGTATCCTGTGAAGTTTTCACTTCTGAGCTTAATCGCACGTGTCTTTAAATATGTGTAATTGATATATAACGTATTAAAAGAGGGTTAAATGGACGTGAAAACGTAATTACATGTCCATTACACGAACATAAAACATCGAGGCGCAATAACCCTTGTCTGTGACCCCCACACATCGTCTGAGCTATAGACATGTTAGTCAGGTTTAGAATCTGTTTAATTTGAGTTTCATAATTGATAATGGATGAAACAGCAGGATATTTTCTCCTCTAAAATTTTCATGTCTTGCTGATAATAAAACGTACTGAAATGCCCATCATTAAATGTTCTTGTGTCCAAATATTGCTAAGTGTATTATTGATTGGTTAAATTTTTAATGCCAAATTATTCCGCGAAAATAACCCTCCAAAGGATGCCAACTTTAACACGATAGCACTTTTGTCTCAGTAAAAAGCTAGTCTACAAATCCTAACTGGTTTTACGATTTCATAATATAATCAAATGACCATTTAAAATAAAACAATCACGGTTGCCCCGACAACCGATCATATTTCCCTCACATGATTCAGTTTTGATAATTCATATAAAAAGTTTTCGGCTATTATGTGTTCTTCTTTTTATAAGATAGACATGTATTATAAGAAACTCTTGTTTCCCTGCAATTGAACCCGTTACCCGAGGGTTACAGCATTACAGATTTGGTTTCACTTGTTTGGGTCCAAACATTGTACATTCATATCTTATGAAGATAATTGAATTTATTGAAGCAACAAACGATTTGATAGACATCAAACATAAAACTCAGCGTCAAACGTGATACTGTTTCACACTTTCTATACATGTATATGTCCGTTAGAAATCAAACATAAAACACAGCGTCAAACGTTATACTGTTTCACACTTTCTATACATGTATATGTCCGTTAGATATCAAACATAAAACACATCGTCAAACGTGATACTGTTTCACACTTTCTATACCTGTATATGTCCGTTAGAAATCAAACATAAAACACAGCGTCAAACATGATACTGTTTCACACTTTCTATACATGTATATGTCCGTTAGAAATCAAACAAAAAACATAGCGTCAAACGTGATACTGTTTCACACTTTCTATCCATGTACATGTCCGTTAGAAATCAAACATAAAACATAGCGTCAAACGTGATACTGTTTCACACTTTCTATCCATGTACATGTCCGTTAGAAATCAAACATAAAACATAGCGTCAAACGTGATACTGTTTCACACTTTCTATACCTGTATATGTCCGTTAGAAATCAAACATAAAACACAGCGTCAAACGTGATACTGTTTCACACTTTCTATACATGTATATGTCCGTGCGTCAAACGTGATACTGTTTCACTCTTTCTATACATTTATATGTCCGTTAGAAAGGGAGCTGAAATATGAAGCCGCATTTAGTAAAGATCTTAACAAAACTCATATTTTATTAAAATTCTAACTTAAAATTAACCACGGTAGATAGAAGCGCTCACCGGCTGTAAGATTGGTAAAGTGTATAAGTAGGGAGGCGAGAAGCAGTGAGGGTTGGTTTTTATCAGATAATTCCGTATGTCGCGATCCTGGGAGTATATAAACCATGTCAGTACACTAGGGGTTATATCGGTTTTATAGCCCTCCATGTCGGTCCGCTGTGTCTGACGGAGAGAAGCCGTTCATTAACGTCTCGCGCGCACGTGGTAGGCACGTTCTTTACGTGCACTATTCTCAGAATGTACCAATTCATCATAATATAATATAGTGCCAATAACTTACAATTATATTACGATTTCCAAACTGTACAGTGTATTCCATTTCCCTTTTCAATCGAACGAGACCTGATTTCGTGGGCGTGTACATTTTACGCAATCAATAATTCATTGATCGTCTCTAATGACGATTTCTTTCCATTTTCCAAACTCTGCTCTACCAGAACAGCGCACGTGCGCCAAAATCTATATCTGAGCATGTCTCATGCCAAGACCATCGTGTGATTTATATACAGATTCCGACCGGCATTGAATTGATAAATTGACCCTGAATGTTGTTCCTGCTATCCGGTACCTGTTTTACACAGCAAACAACAATCTCATCAGCTGATGCTGTCAGTCTGCATTATTTACGAAACTAACAACACGGCTTCGTGTTCGGGTATTTGTCGAAAAGGTCAAAGTTTCGTACACGCCACGGTCAATTTTTTGAACAAATTTTCACACCAAAATCTGGTCTAGTCAGTTAAGCTGTATAAAAAGAATACGATATCTGCTGATATGCCCAATCGTTCGAAGGGCAGGCGTTCCTTCCAAAGCGACAGGTGGTGTTGATAAAGATAAGGCTATTATCCAATTTGTTGTCGTAATTGGGTTCTTTCGCTTAGTTGACCTTACGAAATGTTGGTGAATGTATGCACGTCTTTTTAACTTTTGCAAATTTAGAGGTATACAGATTTATATTTAATAAAAGTTTCAAACAACCCAACAAACATTGCCACTCTCTTTAAAACTCGTTATTTCTTTTCGACATAGTTGTTCCTCCCCTGTCGTTATCATGTTCCCATCATTGACATCCTCACAAACACCTAACAAGGGTCGAAAGTCAACATCTAAATGTCTAGCCCTGTATCTCAGTCCGACCGTTTAGTGAGCTGATAGCTTTTTGACCTGCCCCCGCCCTCTCCCCTCCCCCATCATACCGACAAACATGATATTCTCATCCCTTCCCCTCACCCCCTGCCCCTTTATCGTGTCTTGTATCTCATTGTTATCAATTTGTCTCGATTGCACGGTCACGATTAGGGATTATAACCAGCCGAAGGAGAAAAACAAGAGAAATTCTCTCAAGTTTTGTCTTTGTTCGGAACTCCTCGAGACCTGTTCTTACAAAACATTGATAACTTAATTAAAAATATAAAGTAGGATTTTCCATCAAAGCAGAACAAAACCTAATAATTCAGAAAGTTGTATTAATTATTTAGATAATTGATTATTGTTTTAATTTAAAAACTTGCGTTTGTTTTACTTGATAATATTTTCTTTTGAGGAGCTAATTCCGTTTGAAATGTCTGACAATATTCGACGAAGCTAACCAATATTTCTGTTCGGGAGAGAAGTTGACAGGATCATATACACGAACTGTCTGTTAAATCACCTACTACGTCACAGTGACAAAAGATAACGTCAACCAAGCACACTTCAAAAATTACAATCTCGTGTCCATCAAAGTCTTGTTATAAAAAAAGTTTGATAAAACAAACCCAATCTTCTTTCAAATGTCATGACGGGTCCGTATCCACATTTGATAGCGCGGCGGTTACGGGTGAGTATAGGATTTTGGCGCTAGGTGTCGCGTTTCGCACGGTGTCACCAACAGAGACTCCGTGTAACGTGACCGACCCTGTAAGGGTAGTTATCGGATATCGCTGATCTTATCTACAGTGGTTTACAGTGATACCTATCCGATATCTATTAATATTACACACAATTATATATGATAATACATTTACACCGTATTATGTAGGGATCTTGGAGCGTTTTTTATTCGTACATATATAGATGCATTGATCACAATGCTAATTGATTGTAATGATATACTTTAATAAATTAGTTGATAATTTGAAGCTTATTGAACTCCTGTCTGAGGATTAAATCTTGAATCTGAATATCAATCGGTGTAATTGACTCGCCAATCCCGGTAAAAGTCTACGGAACACACCCAGGTTAATATATAAATAATGGCCGGCCTTCTTAATGTCAAATACGTATTACTATTACATACATGTCCCCTTAAATAGATAATGACTACTGTACTGACAAGTTTCTTGTTAAATTCGCTGAGAGTGGTAGTTATCGTGAAGAAAATCTTCTTATTGACATGAATTATGATGGTTTTATTGGTCCAATTATCCCTATATACAGACCTAAGAAACTTTATAGTCGAAACGGTTCGTCTCTGATCTGAAAGTCGTGTGTACTTCGAATCATATAGAGCTCATTTCTAGATATCAAATATATTTTTGCACTTTTTACGAAAAAGAATTCTAAGAAATCTTTTAGTTGAACCCTCCGATTCCAATCACGGTTTACACGTTAAATGCACATTTCTCACTCGATTTAACTATCTTTGGGTTTTATATCTTGCACAGAAATTTAGGTCGGATGATGACGGCGAAGTAACAGCCATGAGTAGCTGAATGGAGTTTGGCAGGCATTCTTATTTGTCCGTAGTACATTTAATATTCAGAGATCTGGAAAAGTAACAACCACGAGAAACTGAGGAAATCGTTCACCCCTAAAACACGATTTTATTGAAGTTGAAAAATAAAGTCGAGCATAACAATGTGAATTTATTTATGTATAACTGTTATTTCGTTAAATTTATTTTAATATACAATTAAACCCTCGTTGTTCTGAGTATAAAATGACTGATCCCGGACAAACGAATACAGCCTTGTTTTTCTCCAAAATACTTCAAATCAAATGAAATCACTCAGATCCTGCCACTTATAACATCCTCTTAAATACATGTTACCAACGGATGTTTCCGTAATTAAATTTTACTGATATATCAATATATGCTTTATGACATCATCGACTTCCGCTTTAATGAAGAGGCATGCTAATAAAACGTTTCATTGACCACATCAGACGCTCGACAAAACGGAAATGAGGTGCACGAAGTTCATATCGTAATAAATATCCAATTAAGGATCCCCGTACCGCTGCCGAAAAGTGTAAATCTTTTCTGAAAAAAACCCATGCCTTACAAGACAAAATTAATAAATAATCAACAACAATTCAGCAGAGCTATAGAAAGGGATTCGAACTCCGAACTTTAGATTTTTATACTACCGCTCTAAGTGATTGCGCTACAATGTCAACGGAAGTAACCTGGTCAAGGTCAACGGAAGTAACCTGGTCAAGGTCAACGGAAGTAACCTGGTCAAACTACGCTGAGTTATATCAAAACGGTAGTTAAGGGGAGGTTACTGTATATAGGAAAAACACCGTGCAGTGGGGACAGGGACCCTTCAATCCGCCTGGGACTTTGGTGTTCGAACATAATAAAAGTTAAGACGCATGACATGTACATGATAACAAACAGAGTAATTAACACAAACCACTGTAGTTATTGTTATACTTCGACAAGGATATGCAAAGGATCTAGTATTAGACAAATTATGTTACTCTTAAGGCATACATTAAATATTGAAATCTTGAAGACAATTTGTATACTGAATGTTAAATCAATAGTTTAGGGCATGCATATATATATTTTCTTGAAACAGTTTGACCGGTTTTTGTCTAGCATTCGATAACTTGTGTCCAAAGTCGCAACAAAATTACTTCTTGAAGACTGAAAATATTGAATGAAAGATAATGAAAGAAAGTCTGGCCAACTCTTGTTACTTGAAATAACTTTGCTACTCTCGCCGCTATCTAACTCGATTTGTCTGTTCTCGTTCCCTCCCCATCCGTGCGTGATCATAAACGTGATCACGACATGATTAGCCGTCCTGTCTACCGTCAGACTTCCTCAAATTAATGACGATTGATGGCCGAGGAAACTGAATACGTGAGTGATGATAGCTTTATGTCCGCGGCTTCTGAAGAAAGTAGACGTAAAATCTTAATAACCTTCCTCGCCAGCCTCCAACACAAAACACGGCTAATAAAATGATGTATACGGCACAGTGATATCGAGTGTAGCGTCTTGGGGAAACAGACAATTTCATTATGTGGTTTTAGTATATGGTATATTATGAATATAAAACTCGAATAATTGATGAAACTTAGTTAGTAAAATACCGTATATTATGGTTCTTAAAGGAACGTGTTACATTTCTGTTAAAACATTCTCTTTTATTAAAGGGGGAGTTCTCATTTAAAGTCTTTCTTTTTTTAGAAAAAAACAAATCTGCCACAGACAAAATTATCGAACCACATCATTCATTAAAAGTGGCTGGAATAATAACCGCTGGAACTTGCGTGGGGAACGCATAGATGCCAAATTGTATGGCTCCGTATGTTTATTCAAGCCTACAAAATAATTGTTAGAAATGACCATCAGAACGCGAGAAATTACTCCGGAGACGTTCTATTAAACCCAAAGTCCTCGGGAAACACCAAGACCTCCGTACGAGGGGAAATATCCCGCACATTACCTCTCAGTCGAACTGCCATCCGTTTCGGGGTACTACGGGGCTTACACATAGTCAAATTCGGAGAGTTGTTACTTAAACTCTCTCGTTATTCAATGTCATTAACAAAGGCATCGCTCTTCTTGACAATTTCGTTTACGGATTTACAATTAATTAACTTTTGGTTAATTAAGTCCGATTTAGATCAAAGCATTCAGTTTTTAATTGTGTATTATTTTATGTATTTTCAGGTGGATCCTGCGAACAGGTCAAGTGTCCTAAGTTCAAGGTATGCATGGAAAACATGCAGGGACTTCCACTGTGTACGTGTCCGAACATTCTGATATGCAAACGGCGCAGGCGCAGTAGCAAGGAAGTGTGCGGAAATGATGGAAATACTTATCAGTCTCGTTGTCACATGAGAGTGACGGGATGCACTATCAAAACGAGGCTGAAGGTCAGACACAAGGGCCCGTGCTCCTCAAACTCATATATGGTCGCCACGCAACAGTATGGCGGCACTGTTAAATACCCCGATAGTGAATACGATTTACGCAGACGAAGAAAGAAGAACAGACGAAAGGACAAAAGAAAGCAAAAACACAAAAAGCTTAGGCGGCGAAAACGACGTCAAAGGAAAAGAAAATATGATTATCAACGACACAGACGACAAAAGACCAGATTCTTCAATAATAAAAAACAAAAAGTAACGAAATCGCCAGCTGAAAGAAGACGTTCATAATGATAAACAATGTGATATCAATAATTGGGTTCATGAAATTGCGTACAGAGATAAAGATTTGTATAAAAAATCGTGAGACATTTTCCGGGAAAGTTTTGGGAAGATATTTCATCAAATCATTGTGACATACCGCAGGTATTAAGGGGATGTAACTGAGAATTTCAGGTCAGAAAGCTACATATGTGGGCAATAGAATTATTTTTGATTTAAAATGGAATTCATTCAGACAGTAATGGTTTATAGCAGTTTGTCATTTGATATATACGTATTTCTGTGTGGAGATACGTTTGAACCGCTAACGCATAATACAGACAGAAAATGGCTTAACTTAAAACTAGATGCAAATTGTAAGAAATAATCCTACTTCTAGCATGTATCGTCATTCATTTTGTTGCTTAGATTTCATCAGTATGATAGCATATTTCTATTTGAACAATGGAATAGTTCCGGGGGTTGTAATTGAAATTATTCTAATCTGGAGTTGGAGCATATTGATGTTAAGTAAATGTTATGAACTTGATTAATAAATTGTTGTTACTGAAAAGTTACTTATAAAGCTTTTGAAAACCTTTGGTAAGAATATTTTACTTTTATGCCAAAAAAACACCAAAAACGCTATTTAGAATTCGGCCTAACAAACGAAATTTTGTGAGAAAATATTTGAAAACGGCAAATATGCAACATGCTTTACATGAAATGCGTGAGTCTTAAACGGGATGATAATTTTGTGACATTCATCGATTATAGCTTAAAGTGTAGTTTGGATCGGGTCTGATGTGTCGGAGGGGTTTTGATTGTTGGTCAGTGATTCGAGCTAATTTACAGAGAGAGTGGATGTGTTTTGGGATACTCCTTCTCCGTGGATAGATTTTCTCCTATACATTGACACAGACAATAAGTCAGTTTCATCGGCTTTTTAAAAGTTATTGAGGTTTTGGAAAATATGAAATTTTTGGTAACAGACAAAATGACTTGAGTACAAAGAACTTAATTTCACATAAGTATTGCTATTTTAGCAAAGCCATATAGGTTGTTCTGAACTTTTGCAACACAGGAAAAGAAGAAAACAATATATTCAAATCTTCATATTTATAAAACCCTAATAAGGACTAAATCAAACTTCAAACCAACCTGTTTCTGTGAACTCTTGTCTGCTATGTCGACCAACTTACGAACGATGACTATAATATGTCATAAACAGCCAAAGCAGCAAAAACCTCTATAGTTTCGCCATCAATTGAGCCTGGGGTACGGCCATTTTGGATTTATCCGAACCTTTGTCAACCGCCATGGATATCCTACATTGTAAACTCTAATCGGTCAATTAAGGACGCCAGCCATACCGAAGTTGTTTCTGTCCTAAGGCGAGGAATATCATACGATATTATATCAAAACTTTCGTATAATGTATTAATGTGTTACATGTGAGGAGAACAACTTGGGCAATGTCTGTTTGCAATCCTCGTAAAACTAAGAATTATATAAGATCATTATCATTATCATCTATAAAACATAAAAGTAAAAGAGTATCCCAAAATACTTGTAAAATGGTGTAAAGTGTGGTGTGTCGACACGAGTTGTGTATGGAGTTGATGCGGAGTTGTGTATGGAGTTGTGTATGGAGTTGATGCGGAGTTGTGTATGGAGTTGATGCGGAGTTGTGTACGGAGTTATGTATGGAGTTGATGCGGAGTTGTGTACGGAGTTGATGCGGAGTTGTGTACGGAGTTATGTATGGAGTTGATGCGGAGTTGTGTACGGAGTTATGTATGGAGTTGATGCGGAGTTGTGTACGGAGTTGATATGGAGTTGTGTATGGAGTTGATGCGGAGTTGATGCGGAGTTGTGTACGGAGTTTATATGGAGTTGTGTATGGAGTTGATTTGGAGTTGTGTATGGAGTTGAGTGTGGAGATATGTAAGGAGTTTTCGACTGATTATGTACGTCATGTGATATCAAACTTAACTAAAAGTAAAACGTTATGAAAAATAGCTTGTGTTTTAATCGTTTTTCAGACCAAATTGATATCGCTACATACACTACATTGACAAGCATTATATCCCATGGACTCTTTATGAAAACTTCTTTTTTTTCACAACCAATAAAATTGTATTGGTTGTTTTAAAAAAAAAAAAAAATCTTTTTCATAATCCATACTTACCAACCTGGGGAAAATGTTTAGAAATACCCATGGACTCTTCTTAAACCAACGTCTACAGACAGGACGCCATCGTTTTCAGGATATGATACAAGTTTAATTAGAATATATGTATGTCTTATCATCAGATGCTTGCCAAGTGCATGCCTTATCAGGAAAAAATAATAAACTATTTTGTATTTATTACCAACAGGTGGTCATTTTGATCCACAGGACTTTTGAAATAGTTATGACAATTTCATATTCCAATTTGGTTTTAAAATTCGGATGGTAAAATAAAACGGAGAAGACGACAAAGATATGAAAATGAACGTAAGACACATATGTGATTGCACGAATATAACTTGCTAATTGATACAGTATGCCAGGTACGAATTAATTGCATTCCACCATACAGCTATTTTGTCCATCCAGGGCTCATCGGTCATGCTAGGGACCAAAAAGATGGAAATCCAAATGGTCTAAAAAAAACTACTGTTGACACAGAAGGGAAGGTGCCAAAAAAAATCAATTATATGAATTTCAAACATAGATGTGTACTGGTTAATTTCACATTAATAATAAAATCACATTTAAAAATTCTGAATTCAATACAAAAACGTATGTGTGTAAATTGTTTGAAGACAGCATATTTAAGAAATGAAAACTCACAACCGTTGTAATGGGACAATACAAACCCACACAACCTGTAAAGAAATTACACATTGGCAATAAATAGATGTGTCGTTTAAACACCTATATGAAAGAACAAGTTAAAATTCCCGAATACCTTCAATAAAATACAATCGGTTGAGTCACCTAACCTGGCAACAGACGTATGCACGCTGACGGCGAGAGACGGCGCTATTCGTTTGTGGTTTGTCGTCTGCTTCAGTACGAGTCACAGGTTAAATTGACATAACTTATTCAGATCGGTGGAACTATTTATTAGAAATCGTAACTATTTACACCTTATATAGGAACAGTTTTTTTTATATCACATGTTTTGGCAATAAAACTGTTTGTTTACATAGATAATATGCATTCATTTAGTCTCTATTGCGGTCTTGTTAAAAAAAAAATCGAGTTTGTGGTCAATGTGTAAGCATACAGCTCATTTATTTAAGATCAAACCATACAAAACAATCAGAGGTATTTGTAAATACTCTATCAATAACGATACATACTGGTACACCTTGTGAAATGTCAGCGGCATTCACATAGGAATGATGACAAATAATGATACAGACACGTTACATTCCGTGACATGCTGTCATGTAATTATATGAATAATTACAAATAACAACACAAACATGTTGCACCTCGTGACATGCACCGAAGAGATGTCGTCTATTATGTATTCTCCGGCTGTGGCAGATGGAAATAAAATAACATAAAAATCCTTTGAACACGGATCTGAGATAACATGTATGTAAAATATCCATCAAAATATACTTGAACACAGTCATTGCGGTTGTATTCTAATGATTGTCAAAGGAGACAGTTTTTTGGTGCAATGCCTGTCTCGCCGCGAGCTGCACTTTTAAAGGCAACAGAGCACTGGGGCCTGTTCGTTTATGCAGAACAACCGGTTTGACCGTTTATTAATGTAATAATTTCGGGTATAAATCGTTGTGGACCTGCAAATGTTTATGCAGGCCTTGCAAGGCTTTGTCATGGCTCGCCTGAAAGCAGCATCAGATTACTAGGTCCGACCTTATTTAATAAACGAACAACTTTGATCCGACCGGTTTGACATTTTAAACGGAAACGGTCCAGGTTTCACCGTATATGTAGGACTGACACCGGATATAGCTAGTACCGAAGCGGGCATGGAAGCCGGGCGTAGTCAAATCACGTTAACTTTTCGATATTTCTTGTATTTCTGGTAGTGTAGAGACAAATAAAGAAGCACGACAGTCAAGCATAGACGTAATTCATATCTGAAACAGGAGGCATATAATTGTTTTGGTGTAGTTGCAAATTATTTACAAAAACAGTCTGCCTAGTACCGGTAGTTAAATCTTCATTCGCAACAGCAAATATTGTCTTGACCTGATATTTGCCAGTAGATAATAGACATTTATATGCTGAGATGATTTCTTATAGTTATATAGTCATGATAATACATGGAGTCACTCTATATTATGCTTCTTTCTTTAGATATTGGTATAAATAATTTTGGTGAAGTGTACGGCGAATAGCAATACATTGTTCGGCGAATAGGAATGTTTAAAATAACTGGTGTACGGCGGATAGGTCATATGGTATACAGTATTCAAGTGAACATCTCGCCTAAATGTGATATATTTTGTTAAATCTAAACTGAAACTAACGTTCCCCGATTACCGTAAATCTCCTACAGTGTAAAATGCATGCACCTTATCGTACGTAAGTTGTAGAACACCAAAGATTACAAGAAACAACAATGCACTCAATACAGTTGTACAGGTAAGTCAGATAACCACTAGTCTACCTGTGCTGTAGATTAAAACGATATGCCAAACTGATAGCTGTGTGTCTGTTTCTCAGCCCTCAAAATATTAGGGTTGCAAAATATTTTTTTTAAAGTACCAATTATAAAACAAAGTTTCAGACCATAATTTAAAAGTGCCTATTAAAAGTTGATGAAAATAAAGTGAGAATAGACTTTGCAATCTTGAGCAGGAATGAAGCAGACTTATCCCATTGCCTGTTAAAGGTATACATATTTAACACTTTCAGACGTCTGTATTGCCTTTACCACTTCCTGTTTAAAGATACTGTGAATAAATTGAGGATATATCAGCTTAACTATCGTGTTTTTCTTTGCAAATCTAGGTATTAGTGCATCACCCTTAAAATTTCTTGTGTAACCCCTCACCCTTGTATATTAACGTTGTGACATGGAAAGAGTATGTCACCTTCTGCCTAAGTTCTAACTCTCCACCGCTGTTGTCAAGGTCATAGCTAAAGTTCCAACACTCAATAGCTATTGCCAAGATCACAGCTAAAGTTCCTACTCTCCACCGCTATTGTCAAGGTCACAGCTTAAGTTGTGTTATAGCATGTTAAAAATGGGTACTCCTTATCATTATTTAACTCGACATTCATTAGACTTTCGACATTCTTTAACCCCTTCCCTTACGATATCATTCAAAAGTGTTACAAAGCAACACCATTGGTATGTCCACATTTGAATCCTGTTTCCAATCATCTAGACTTGCTGACTATGTATGTAATTTTCTTCAAACTTAAATAAAACAAGAGGCCCAGGGGCTTTAATAGCTAAAAAAAACACCAAAAAACCCACAACACCATTGGTATGTTACTCCAATGGTATAACAACATAAAAACACAGCTAGTATATATGCCCGCCCGCTCTAAACATGGTTATGTTAGTATAGCTATTCGCCGTACTGTTAACATGCTAGTTGCCGTACACTTGAACATGTATCAACAACTATTTGCCGTACACAGACGAAAACACATTTAAGTCAATTACATCGTAATGACTACATTTAGACATATGGCCATTATATGTTTATCCCGGTCTCATCTACATATGCCAGTAACGTTCGTTTCATCATCGTATATATCATACTTTAATAGTTATCTCTTTTTCTTTCTTTGTAAATGATTTTGTATCGGTACTTTGTAGTCATTTTCTTTTTCTTTTTTTTTCTTTCTTTTTTTATATATATACATTTAATAACCCAGGCATGTATACATCATTCGTGGGTCGTCTGGGGATGGGCTGCCCCAGCTACGACCCACAATACATGAAACACTCTCTATTTTCTTTCTTCGCAAATCAACACTTATTCATTTCTTTCTCTCTCACTTTTTCACACTCTCAGTCTGTAATTTCTCCTTTTTTTACCTCACCTTTTTACACTTCCGTGTAAACCCTCCTCACACGGAGGTAACAAAAACAAAACAAAATTAATACGGAACTTTTATCCGGTTTCCGGTAGTCATTTTTTACCAATATCTTCAGATCGCATGAAATAGTTTGCAAACCATCATCATCACATACATCATTGTTCATTGTATAACTGTTGTGCTCCTTTATTTGTCTCTACGCTACCAGAAAATACCAGTAATATCGGAAAACATCCCGTGGCTTGTCTGCGCCTAGCGTCCATGCCCGCTTCGGTACCAGCTATATCCGGTGTCAGTCCTACACAGTGGTATATCTGGGCAGTCGAAGTAATAACGAAGATATAAAGGTAACCAACTCAAATTTGCAAGGAGCAATGTCGAACCTGTTTGATTATATAAGTTATCTTTATTACAAATTCCATGAGATATATAATATATATGCTTATATCAATAAAGGTATCTAACAGACAGTCGATATGGGTTTTTTAATCAGAAACATTACATATTTTAAAATGTCTGAAGAAAATTGTAAGCGATATCTTTTATAAAACGTCGTATATATCTTATGAATTTTATACAATATATCTTATAGAGATACATTATCTGATAAGAGATGTCGATATCTTTTATATTTTCTTCGTATCTTTTATTATTTTATCCAATACAGGAACGCCCGGCATAGCTCCGTTATGCTAAATATTGGCTTGCTATAGATATACACCAGGTAATGACATAACGCAATCCAATATCACACTGATTAGAAACACTGACAGGTGTGAAACTAGGGAGGCCAACTCCCCAAGAGATTAGTTGCATTTTACTTTTAATTCAAGAATTTTACATCTATTTTTTATATGAAACTATACTGCCTTGATAACACATTAATCATCTGACAAATTTTATGTTTCTCATTTCCTGTTTTTGTTTAACGCTTTTTATGACATCAATCAGAATCCGCTTCATTCCTTTAATATGTAGGATTTTGTTCAC